ATTATAATTATTATTATTATTTTTAGCGTTGGCATCAATTTTATGATTAAATGTGTCTCGTTAAAATATCCGTGTTAAATCATATTTTTATCGGAACATCCCTATATGAAAAAAGTAATCATTTTTGTTTTAAAATTCACTCTTATACGAAAAATTCTGTTTTCGAACAAGCAATTTGAATATTTTAAAAGTTTACGCAACGCAATTCTTTAATCGTTAATCGACCACTCGCTTAATAACTATAAGAATGCTCGTACTATAAAAATAATAATTTTTTTTTTTTTTTAACACAACTGATACATTTTTTACGTCAATTTGCCTCGTATCAATTAACTTTCCCATAAAACGTAAAAAAATCAAATGATATTATTCAACAATATTAAAAATATGAAAATTTGTGTATATATATTATATCAAAATCCGCATACATTGATCTGGGAATTATTTTTCGCTATAAAAAGCAACGAATAAAAAAGAAAACATTTTAGCACTTGATGAACTTTCAGGAAAAAGAAAAAAGCCGATGTGAATGATTATTGTCAAGGCACGTCGCCGTCCCGTAAAAATAAAGGCTATTTTCCCTTCCAAATAATGTATATCGATATCACGAGAAAAAAAAATTATTTTCAGCCGCGCAAAAAAGCTGGTCCAAGCGATTCTTCAAAAATGCAGGTATTCACCACTTCCTTTGATATTGCACATTGATTGTGAAAAAGAAAAAAAAAATCAATCATAAGTCACGTTATTTCTGAGTTTATTCGGCAAAAAAAGCAAATTTTTATTTCGAAGAGCAAATGAAAAATTAATCAACTGTAACAAAAGATTAAAAAAAAAAATAATAAATTACGAAGGGAAAAAATATGCTGGGAAGTTATACAGAAATAAACGAAGGTATGTGTGATGCTGCGAGTATAAAAGAAAAGTATTAGCTAAGATGTATTTATAAAGTGAAAATAGTTGAAGTGAAAGAAAAAAAAGCGAGTGGTTCGAATGAGAGTGGAAGGAAAAAAAAGTTAGCGAGAGTGCAGTGTAAACAATATCCAGATAAAATAAATTTCGAGAGAAAAGAATGAAGCGCGAATATTAGTTTCATACGTTGATATAATAAGTAAATAGGTATGCGATTTTCAATGGAAAACAAAGAACAATGGATGTGACCAGCTGACATTTAGCTTTTTTCCCCACCCCCTTTTTTACGTAGAAAAAAAAAAAAAAAAATAAACTGTAAAACAACTACCGAATCAAGTGATTTTTCTTTTCCTTTTGTATTGCGCTAAAAATCTTCGTTACGGTGTGTATTTTATAAACACTAGAGACGCTTTGAGTATTCAAATATAAAAATCAGTGACTAAAATTGGAATGAATAGTACCAAAGGATAAAAAAAACAAAAATACGAGGAGTATACGTTTCGTGACTGCAAGATCTGCAAGTCAAAACTCCCGTGTAACATTGACGAAGCAAAAAAAATGTGAAATTGTTTATATCAAGATCGATGCAATTTTCGTTTGAAAATTTTAAGTTGTACTGCAATGGAGGAAGTAAAAATAAATATTGCCAAAAGTAACGAATTTATCATTATTCAAGTAATCTAATTTCACGTTTGAATTTTAGCAGTTGTACCATACATGTAGTTTTACAAATTTTACAATTTTTTTATCAGTTTTAATTAAAATGTAAAATGATGTTTTACTTCACAAATAACAATTTAACTTAGAGTAATCTTAGGTAGTTGCAAACAAATTTTAATGCTATTGTTTACACATAAAGTTTTCGTTTTCATATCAATGTTTACCATACCTTTATATGTTTCAGAAAATTATTCAAGGAGTAGCATTAATGTATCTACATGCGTACAACGAATTGAAATCAAATGTTGAATATGAATAAAGTGTCAAGAAAAATGTTTTTCCCTGTTATTATCGATGCCTATCAGCATATTATAAATATGATAAGGTAAGGCAAACTTTAAAAAAAATATTTTTTTCAACAAAATCAAATATCTCTATTTCATAACGCGCATTTTTAAATATAGCTGCTGGCAGCATTTATATATTATATATATTTTTTTTATATTATAGTGTACTGACCTTACTAATGGGTATGTACACTGTCTTCATTCATTCAACATTTACCTTGTCTTTTAACATGTCGTTTTCATGGTATCATTATACATTTCTCTTATTTTCGCTTGTCATTACATTTTCGTTCTATATTATTCGCATATCATAATCTTTTTTATCTCCCCGGTCACGCAGGACACGGTTATCGAGAAAGCTCGTCAGACAATTCTTTATTTTTCAATCGCTTTTTTATTTTTCTTTTCATCTTAAAAACTGAATCTTTATTCTAAGTCGGTTTCATGAATTCGATACTCGGCAAGAACCATCAGAAAAAATCTGAGGTTCCCCCCGACCGGGAATCGAACCCACGACCCCTCGAGAGCTGTGATGTTTCATCGGTGGCTAGCATGCAAACACTGAGCCAACGTTGCAACGACGAGCTCTATATATATATATATTGTGTGTCAGATGATGACTCAGATCGTCTGCTTCTGCTATTTGCTGTTGATAAAATAATGGTTGTTTACTCATCGTCAATTCCAATTCGTCGTTCACGCGCGCGCTTCTTGCTTTCTTATCATCATATCGTATCATCATAGATATATCATACACATGCAAATGAAACCCTGTGCAAGAAGTATACCGATTTTCTCTCACTTTCCTTCAGTCTGTAACGTTAGTTTTTCAACTCCAAAGTTCCTCTCTCTGACTCTTTGTCTCGTCTCGTAGTGCTAGATTTCAATTAAGTGTACAAATAAGTAGTGTCATCGTGTGACATGCACCTAAACAATGACGACGGACCCGTCGGCCCACATCAACGTCCTCATCAACTCCTGTATAAGTGGCAGCAACAGCGGAGACGAGAATGACGAGCAGAGACTCGTAACTGGACGTTCTCCAGTCGTCGCCAGGAATTCTCCCAGGAACAACTTCCCCTCGTACTCCAACCAGGATGTCAGAGTCAGGTTTCGGGTAGGTGATGTTTGTTCATTCGTTATGACATTGTTCTGTTTAAACGTTCAACGTTGTTTTATTCCCTCTTGGTGTAGAATGCTGATTACCCTGGAAGTGGGTCGTTCAGTAATATCATCGAAAACGTGTTTACGCGACAGTCGATAAGGAACTACCTGGACGACATCCATCCTGGAGCTACGAATTTTCTGTCCAGCAACTACGAGGTTTGATATTTTTTACTTATTTGTTGTATCAGTTGCGACGCTGCTGCGTGATTCATCTCATCGAGAAAAAAAAAGAGATATAAATGAAACACGCTGCCCTCGTTTTCTTTATCAAAATGCACTGGCGCACTTCGTTTCCCCAATGATTGATAAATGCAAATTATTACACATTTATTTTCAGAGTCTGGATTATGACACTTGCGAGAACAATTTGCTGTTGGATGAGGAGAGGAACAAGGGCTACAAGTTTGTAGTGAAGAAGAATCTGGCAAGATGGTTTATTTTTCTAGTTATTGGTATACTGACTGCCTTGATAGCCTGCTTTGTAGATATTTCCATAGAAGAGCTGTCAAGCAGAAAATATGGATTTCTCAAGCAATGTATCCTTTTTACGTGAAAGACGATATAATTATCTGAACATTCTTTATTATGAATAATTTTTCTTAACTAAATATCCTCAACAGTGGTAGACAACTGTATAAATAGTAAAGGAGATTGCTTATGGATTCCATATGTAGGGTGGACCATTTTAAATATGGTCCCTGTGTTGATTGGTACATTATTAGTTACTTTTGTTGAGCCTGTGGCCACTGGCAGCGGTATTCCGCAAGTCAAATGTTATCTCAATGGTATTAAAATTCCAAGAGTAGTAAGGATTAAGACTCTAGCTGTCAAGATTATTGGTGTAATAGGGACTGTTGTAGGTGGATTAGCTGGTGGAAAAGTAAGACTTGCAAAATTTCAAATAAAAGAAAATTAATTAAGTTAATTACGTCCAAAGTCCAAATCACGAATTTATTATTCTTTCAGGAAGGACCTATGATACATGCTGGAGCAGTCGTGGCTGCTGGTGTTTCGCAGGGAAAGAGTACAACGTTCAAAAAAGACATAGGAATTTTTAAATATTTTAGAGAAGACCATGAAAAAAGAGATTTTGTATCGGGTGGTGCAGCAGCTGGAGTATCTGCTGCTTTTGGCGCGCCGATCGGAGGTGTGCTGTTTAGTATTGAAGAGGGCACGAGTTTCTTCAACCAAAGCCTGACATGGAGAACTTTTCTAGCTAGTATGATAAGCACTTTTACCCTTAATATTGTCCTCAGTGCCTACCACGGTCGCCCTGGAGACTTGTCTTATCCAGGTCTCCTGAATTTAGGAAAGTTTGAAACAATCTGCTATCAAATTTATGAAATTCCATTGTTTGTATTCGTTGGATGTCTAGGAGGAGTGCTTGGCGCTCTTTGGAACTACTTAAATTATAAGATATCTGTTTTTCGACAAAAATACTTGAAATCCAAGTGGTTAAAGGTTTCCGAGGCGCTTAGTATAGCCATAATGAGTGCTACCATGGGTTTCCTCATGATGTTCTTTATTGATGATTGTAAGCCATTAGGTGACAAAGATGTCCCGAAAATTCCTGTACAGATGTATTGTCCTAAAGACCATTACAGTGCTGTTGCAGCTTTGTGGTTCCAGACACCAGAGAGTATCGTTCGTTCACTTCTTCATGATAAATTAGGTGATTGAAAAAAAAAAAAAAAAAATTTCAACTAGGTGTTTTTTGTAAGAAAATATTTAATATTTTATCTTGCATTATTATTTCAGGATCTCACAATAATGCAACGTTGGCAGTTTTTGTGATTTTATATTTTTTCCTTGCTGCCATAACATTTGGAGTATCTATGTCTGGTGGACTTTTTATTCCATCTTTATTGATTGGATCTGCATGGGGTAGACTTTTTGGTTCAAGTTTATCACATTTTTATCCTGATGTGAGATATACTATATTGCAATTAAGAAAAAAATCATTATCGATAGTTTAGGGTTCATACAAACATTTTGGTAGGTATTTCCTGATCCTGGAAAGTATGCTTTCCTTGGTGCTGCAGCTCAACTCGGAGGAGTTGTAAGAATGACGATTAGTTTGACAGCCATTCTAATAGAATCTACCCAAGGGATTTCATTTGGTCTGCCAGTTATCATCGTTTTGACTATGGCAAAGTGGGTGGGCGATTTCTTTAACGAGGTGAGCATACATTTTACACGTATAATTTTGAAAAAATAATTAATGCGCGACATTTCGATGATCCACAAATGTTTTCAGGGCATTTATGAAATTCACATTCAAATGGCTGGCATACCACTTTTACCATGGGAACCGCCACCCTTATCGAATAATATTTATGCCAGCGAAATAATGAGCCACCCCGTGGTGACGTTAAAAACGACAGAAAACGTGGGTCATATATTAGAAATGTTAAGGTGCGTTTCTTTTAATGGTTTCCCAGTCGTTGATCCTCCAAAAAGTGATCAGGTAGGTTTTAAAAATATTTAAAAAAACGTAAAGTTGTTAGTAACAAAGTAAATCATTGTTTAGAGTGAAGTAAGTAATTACGGAAAACTGCGCGGTATGATTCTGCGCTCGCAGCTGATAGTATTGTTGCAAAATAAAGTATTTAACGAGTACGAAGAAAATTGGGAAAAGGATTTGAGCATAAAGATGTTTAGGAAGGAATATCCGCGATATCCAACTGTCGCCAAGGTTATCGTTACGGAAAGAGAAAAAACCTTTACTATTGATCTCAGACCTTTCATGAATCCGTCGCCTTACACGCTGAAACACGTGAGTATCGATCGTGTCATCTTTTCAACATTTTATCAGTTTATCAGAATAAAAAACATTAATACATTAATATGTTTTTTTTTTTTTCCTGTATTATTCTAGTCTGCAACATTACCTAGAGCGTTCAGGTTGTTCAGAGCCCTGGGCTTACGCCACTTACCAGTTGTTAATGATATTAACGAAGTTATTGGAATGATAACAAGAGTAGACGTCGCGCGATACCGTATTTGGAAGCATTTTGGACGAATGGGTCTCAGCGAACTCTCGATAACGAATAAAATTTAGTCAAGAATGTGTTATTTCCCTTCTCACTCAAACGACTCACGAATTAATTGATTCAATGTTCGTTGATCATGATATTTTTATACAATTGAGAAATCGTGCGTTGCGAAAAGTTTTTTTTTTATATTTATTTTACACCAAATATATAATATATAGTTAAATTATTTTATCATAGAAAAAAAGTAACGTTGTTAGTTATTTACAAACAGCTCCCATCCAAGCCAAGACCAAAGCCGGAAAAACAAGTACACGGGAATGAGTACCAAAGCGAGGAGAAAGTAGTATTCCCAAGTCGAGATGTGCATGATTTTATTTTTCCAAGGAAAACCTAAAAAAAAATATATATATCATAAAAAATTAAACCGGAGTTCAAGACCATTTGCGTTGAGTTAAAATTTAGATTTGTCGAGCATATTCAGACGAAATGAACGGGTATTGTGTACACCTCGCAACGCACATCTGTCAAAGTGGAGGAAAAGTCGAGCAATGGTCATAGGTAGGTTTACCTAACAGGAAAATCCATTGCACACTAGAGAAAGAGAGAGAGAGAGCAGGTTGTTGCTTCGTACACCGCCTAATAAGTAAAGCTGGGTCACTTATTCCCTCTCTCTCTCTCTTGCTGTCCTTCTTGTCTTGGGTGGCAATTAATCGCGTCCGTCCGTCCGTCGACTATTTCGGGAACGAATCACCTTGATGAAATACGCATACATGTAAAAGTGCGACCGGAGGAGGAGGAGGAGTGCAGAGAGAAGAACGCCCGCGCGCGACACACGGAGCCAAAGAGAGATCTGCGCTCGGCTAATCCCCGATAAAAGAAACAACGCCTCTTTCTTTCTTTTGTTTTCTTTCATATTCACACTCCCGAGACGGTGACAAGTGCGAATCAAGGTGCTCTCGATCATTGTATACACACTTGTCGATCACAGCACTGCAGTACCTACCTACTTAGCGTGTGTAAAACAAACTGAAACGAAACAAAGTGACTCCCCGCGGGGAGTTTACCTTGCCGCGGGTGTGGGTGCGCGATAACGATTTCGTGTATTCTGTTGTCAAGTGCACGATCCGAGAGGACCTTTAAACGCCACCGCGAGTGATTGAACGATGATTTTTATCTCGGGAGATAGAGTTATAGTTGTTGGCGGTGTACGTGCGCGCGCGAGTTCGCGGGCCGTTGATAATGACATGTACTGCCGGTTATCGAGATTATTGTAAAAAAAGGGGAAAAAGATGCTTTTTGGAGAGATGCCGGCATGAACGATAGCGGGGAGCACGGGTTCGCCGACATGGAGAACGAGGTCGAGATTATCGCCAAGGTACAACATACACCGAAGAGACCGAAACGAATGAAGACTTTTGAATGACCGGCAATCGAGGTGTAAGCTTACATTATTAATTGTTTGTTTTTTTGGTCGTGGAATCAAGTTGTCATCGAAGCAGCATCAGACGCCGAGCCGGGGCCGATCGGGTTCGCGGGAGGGAAGTGTGGGCAAGAGGCCGCGCTCGAGCCGGCCGCACGAGACCGAGGAGGAGGCGATCATCCGGCGGTTCCACGATGCCCAGCGCATGGCGAGGTTTCGGGCGCGCAGGAAAAAGGCCCTCGAGGACCAGCAGCTGCAACATAACGGGCGCGACGACTCGGGTGTGTGTATACTTATATGTTTGTATTCTGAGTCAATCGAGGGAGCTGAAGTGACATTTGTTTCAGAGTCGGAGGGTCGGCCGGAGGGGGGTAGCCCGGAAACGGAGAGCAAGTATGCCCAGCTATTGGCGATAATCGAGGGGATCGGTCGAGACGTGAGGTTGTCTTACGCGGGTAGTCGGAGTTCGGCGGAACGGCTCAAATGCGGCATCGTCAGGGCAAGGAGTTTGGTGCGCGACTGCCTGATAGAGACGAGCCTCAATCTCAGGCAGTGAATCATTACATATATATAGTTGGCCATACTTGTCGGGTTCGTGAATAAAAATTAAAGGTTTTGCGGATTTTTAGGTATAAATTGAGTTTCCGTTTTACACCTCGGGCTGTGTATGAGACTATACATATATGTATACCTATACATAGGTGTGACAATGCAGTGCTTTTTTAATATCGCGTTTTCTCAGATAGATATTCGCTCGTTAATGAATGTCACAACGAGGACATTGTGTGTACTTTTATCTCAAAAACGCTCGGATATGATATATAGCTGTGTTAAAACGTGTGTTATTGTACAAACTGCGACATTGATTTAATCCATAAACAAAAAATAAAAAAACGTCTGATGTGCTTACAAAAGTAGACATATAATTACTTCGTGTCTTACAATAAAATAATACGTTCATTAAATCATTTGAGTATGCAAAGGATCTTTGAAACAGCACTTTATAGTACCTACTTGTGAGGGTGCCTTTGGTGAAACAAATAAAGGAAAAAACTTGTTTTTTTACAAAATGTTACGCTATATTATTAACCATTGGTGATTATAATCATGTATTTGTACAAAAAAATATAGGAAACAAATCGTAAAACGGTTTTTTGTTGTTGTCGAAGCAGACTTCTTCGAGGAAATCCCCTTGCGATCCGATCACATGATTATATCCTTGCAAAAAGCAGGAGGAAGAAGAAGAAAAGGGGAGGGAAAAGGTAAAAAACAAATGTAAAAGAAGCTATATGTATATGATCTCCCCTTCGTTCCTCCTCCCAAGGAAGGGTAGAGATCCTTAAAGTATCGACGTCTTCGGGACTGTATATGTAAGAGACCGCGGACACCCAGCCAATAAGGACCCATGCAATCCGGAGGGATTCGTCTCCACCCTTTTCTCTCCCTTATTCACCAGCCGCCCCTTTGTCGCGGCGCGCCGACATACACCTACGCGCTTACATTATACATCTGTATACATACACGCGCGGGGGATCAAACATCAAAGTGTGTTTCGCGAAAGAGAGGAGAATCGAGAATATATATATATTAAGTATAAGGAGAAGAAAGAAGGCCAAAGGTGTAGTAGTACAGACAGACACTCACGCTAATACAACAGTCGGAGAGTTCAAAGACGCCGTTCGATCACATACAGGAGGGTTATGGTTCAATAAAATGATCACGTACCATCGGCAACAAAACCGTAATAGCAGTCATACCTTTGTGGAGAGTTGAAGTATTTCGAAAAACGTCAGGTGAGATTAATTTCTTTTACATACCGGCACGATCTCTCCTCACCTCGGCGGATCCTTTCCAAGTGTTTTTCCGGATCGTCTCGTTGTTTTGACGTGTGGAGTTGGAGAGACACCAGGACGGTCCCACTGTTGGAACATCTTTTGTGTTTGGCAAAAGGGGGGGGGAGAGTTTGCCTCTTTTCTTTCCTCTGTCTTTCGATTAAAAAACACATATCACAACTCATGTGTATATAATATTTACTTGCAAGTTAATAACACAGGCTTTTTCTCACGCTGCTCCATCGTTTCCTGTTTTATTTATTTATTTATTTTTTTTGACGAAAGACGATTAATACCTTACATATACACGATGTGATTATCTCTTCAAAAGCAATTTATTATCATACGACCGGTTAATTATTTAAATTTCGCGCTTTTAATTCTAACGAATTGCCCTGAGAGGGGAGGGTCGGGAAAAGAGACGGAAAAGCGTTTTCAGTTTCGCGGAGTGGGGGGGGGGAGTTGACTACGAAACATAACTCCGAAAAAACAATAGCGGTATATATACGGTACCTATAGGTAATGTGAAAAACGGAGTCCGAAGCAAAAAATCACGAATAAAAAACCGATACACATGAAAATAGTGCTGCAGGGCGAAGAGAGCTTGTCGTCGTCTTTTGTTCTTTAGTTGAGTAGGTAAAATTATACATACAATACACAATATAATTCTGTCGGTGTCTTATCTGTATTATTTATTAATTCTTAACAGTTAAGTAGTTATACATGTGAATACTTCTTACAGGTGGTTTGCGTAGTAAATTTTATATTTTCATCAATTTTGTCAAGAGTACACGCGTTTAAGTGATACTGCTGTGTAAGAGAGTGGACATTGTACAGACACACCTACGTGTATTTGTTGAATTGATTAAAAATACATATTATTAAATGAAAAGGGAGAGAAGAAGAGAAGTAACATGCAACTCCTACTGTTGACAATTTTGGCTGCCCCGAAGCCACAATTTATCTGTAGCATCAATTCAATATTTAAGAGGTAAGCATGCGAGCACTTTTTTCCTAATCACTCAAATGCTTATTTTGCAAGAAATCGAGATTGATCGTTTTTACTAATTATAAAACTCTAGGTAATTAGATTAGAGAAAAAAATTATATTCGGAGGGTGCAATAAGAAGAGTAGTTGAATTGGGCTTTATAATACAAGTAAGAGAATCTAAATCCTAAATGTCCGAGACGTTGGAAGAACGGAATTTGAGGTTGTATTTGGAGAGGATGAAGAATTCGAGGCCAAAGGAGACGGAGGAGCAGGTGCAGATGAGGCGTATACAGGAGGCCCAGCGAATGGCTCGTCACAGGGCAAAGAAAAAGCGTTGCCTGGACGAAAATCTTGCCAGGGAAATATCCAAAATAGCCGAGCTCTCGAAGATGCCAGACGCAGCTACCATTGCTGAAATGACCGAGCTCAATATGAACAAGATCTCTGCTGAGCTGAAGCAGATGATGGAGAGGGGTAAGGTTCCGGAACATATAGTCCAGATGGCCCAGCTCTCCGAGTTCAGTAAAATGAGCGAGTTCAATAAGGCTATGTCTCAGGATATGGCTAAACGGTATGAGATGGCAGAATATGCCAAAAACAATGAATACATGAAGATGCAAATGCAGATGTCCGAACTGGCTAAGATGAATGAGATGGTCAAGTTGTCAGAAATGGCCAAGTACAATGATATTAACAAAATGAATGAGATAGCCAAAATGAATGAAATGATGAAAATCTCTCAGATGGCCAAGATAAATGAGGTAGGTGTAAAATACTTGGTTCAAATAGTTTTTTTTTTTCCATAACCAACTTTTGTATTAATTATTGCATGCATTACATTTACAGATGGCAAAGATCAATGAAGTGCAACGAATGAATGAGATTGCCAAGTTGAATGAGATGATTAAATTGCAAAATGACATGAACAAAATGCCTCAGAGCTCCAAAATGGCTGAAATTTCTTTGGCTAAACTCAATGAAATTACTATTACAAAACTAAATGATCCTCCAGCACCACCGCCACCACCACCACCTCAACCAAAAGTTCAAGATATTCCAAGGATCCCAGAACCTGTGATCACTGTGCCCAACCCTAGGAATCTGCAGAACGTGCAAACTGTTCAGGTATGATAAAATTTATATGCTTTGTATTAAAAAAGTTTTAATTTTTATACACATGTCGTGTTGACTTATCAGGTGGCACAGGCTAGCCCAGGCAATGTAAACTTTCCATCAGTGCCCGGACAAGGTAAATACACTCAGCTGCTTGTCATAATCGAAGAGTTGGGTCGAGACATTCGTCTTTCCTATGCAGGCAGTCGGTCTGCCGCAGAACGTCTAAAAATGGGAATACAACACGCCAGGATTATTGTTCGTGAGTGCTTGAATGAAACCGAGCACAACGCAAGACAATGATCTGCCACTCCTAGTTATTTATTGTATTCTTTAGAAATTTATTTTTTTTTAAATAGGTTTGCCAAACACGATTATTATGATGATGTGGTATTTACTATGACGATACTGTCCGGGGAAAGCCTTATGCTATGCAAAAATGTAATGTCCCTGGATCCATATTTTTTACAATTTATTAGATTAATTTTAGAGCTGGAATTTTGCGAGAACATGGAGTATTATCAACAATTTGAAAAAACAAATAAATATGATCCAGAGCTCTTTGTTCGCTACTGCCGTCGTGGGTTTTTTGACGTACGCGACAGGTGATATAAAATGTGACGAAAATTGAAATTATTTTTTGATTGTATAAATTTTGTTAATATTTCTATGTATTGGCTGTTGAAAAAATTATCATAATAATTGTCACGTCGAATGATAATTGCGCGAAAAACTCTTAAAGACTGTGCTAGCTTTTGATCATTTTCATGCAGATTATTCTTCATGAAAACCTGTTTTGAGCGCTTTTTTAACAAGAAAATCATGTAAATCAATTTTTTTTTTAATACACAAACAATCAATTAATACCTATAGCTGGATTCATTTGTTAGATAAATTATGTACCAAAATAATTTCAGTACGTGTATGTATATGTATAAGTTATTCAAATACTGTACCAATCAGGGATAGAAATATACATATTATAGGGTATTTCAGTAAATAAAGTACCAGTTTTCTATCAAAATTGAATTTTATTTTGTAATAATATAAGTATATAGATTATAAATAGATACAGGAGGGTTATGGTTCAATAAAATGATCACGTACCATCGGCAACAAAACCGTAATAGCAGTCATACCTTTGTGGAGAGTTGAAGTATTTCGAAAAACGTCAGGTGAGATTAATTTCTTTTACATACCGGCACGATCTCTCCTCACCTCGGCGGATCCTTTCCAAGTGTTTTTCCGGATCGTCTCGTTGTTTTGACGTGTGGAGTTGGAGAGACACCAGGACGGTCCCACTGTTGGAACATCTTTTGTGTTTGGCAAAAGGGGGGGGGAGAGTTTGCCTCTTTTCTTTCCTCTGTCTTTCGATTAAAAAACACATATCACAACTCATGTGTATATAATATTTACTTGCAAGTTAATAACACAGGCTTTTTCTCACGCTGCTCCATCGTTTCCTGTTTTATTTATTTATTTATTTTTTTTGACGAGAGACGATTAATACCTTACATATACACGATGTGATTATCTCTTCAAAAGCAATTTATTATCATACGACCGGTTAATTATTTAAATTTCGCGCTTTTAATTCTAACGAATTGCCCTGAGAGGGGAGGGTCGGGAAAAGAGACGGAAAAGCGTTTTCAGTTTCGCGGAGTGGGGGGGGGGAGTTGACTACGAAACATAACTCCGAAAAAACAATAGCGGTATATATACGGTACCTATAGGTAATGTGAAAAACGGAGTCCGAAGCAAAAAATCACGAATAAAAAACCGATACACATGAAAATAGTGCTGCAGGGCGAAGAGAGCTTGTCGTCGTCTTTTGTTCTTTAGTTGAGTAGGTAAAATTATACATACAATACACAATATAATTCTGTCGGTGTCTTATCTGTATTATTTATTAATTCTTAACAGTTAAGTAGTTATACATGTGAATACTTCTTACAGGTGGTTTGCGTAGTAAATTTTATATTTTCATCAATTTTGTCAAGAGTACACGCGTTTAAGTGATACTGCTGTGTAAGAGAGTGGACATTGTACAGACACACCTACGTGTATTTGTTGAATTGATTAAAAATACATATTATTAAATGAAAAGGGAGAGAAGAAGAGAAGTAACATGCAACTCCTACTGTTGACAATTTTGGCTGCCCCGAAGCCACAATTTATCTGTAGCATCAATTCAATATTTAAGAGGTAAGCATGCGAGCACTTTTTTCCNGTGGATGTTGGCTTCGCTGGTGTACTGGAAGTCTTTGCTCGGTTTGATCTCTTTGTTGCTGTGCAGCCAAATGACGTCGAACTTGTTCGCCCCGATGATACGACAGCTAAGCGTCACCGCTTCACCGTCGTTCACCACTGTGCTCTTCAGGTGGTCGACTATTTGTGGCGCGTGATCATCGGTTTCGACCTTTCGTTTGGGCTCTGGTGCTTTTTCTACAGCTGCAACGCCAATATTTATTATTGTTATTATCCATCAACTTTATTTTCACTTCTCCCTTTGTCATTTAATTATAGGATGCACCGTACATTCTAAATAATTCAAACACTCGAAAAACTACGTGTTAAAGAATTGTTTAACATTTTTGTCTTTGAAAAGGATAATTTGTTATCACTTTATTGACAATCGTGTGAAATTTGGCCTCGACCGATTCAAAGTCGATTGTCTTATGACATTTTCATTTTCGTTGTATCTAATTTGTATTTACCGCCAAACAGCAAACCACGTGACTAAATAAAGCTGATCACGTGACGAAAACGAGATATCATGGCAGCCGCCGCGAAAGTGACAGTTGAAGTAAGAAAGTATAGAAACAGTAACGAGTAGTACTCACGATTGATCTTTAACTTGCAAGTGGTAGATATGGTTCCAATACTGTTGCTAGCCGTGCATACGTATTCGCCCTCGTCTTCGGGGAAGACCTCGGCGATCGTCAGTGAAGCTACTCCATTCTTATACCTTAAATCGACAACATCTGACGACGTGACGATCTGTTCGTTCTTCAACCACGTGACTTGTGGCTCGGGATCACCCTCGACTTTGACAGTTAGTTCGAGCCTCGTGCCGTCGTCGATCTTTAGCTCACTATCCAACTGCTGGACGAATGCCGGTGGTCCCATCGTTGTGTCAGGGGCAGCTACGCGCATACATTTTACCAGATAGAGGTTAGTGCAATTTCATTCAAACAAAAATGTATACTATTGAGATTATTTAACTTGATGTAAAACATGGTAAAACTTACGAATCAGTTCTTTTGTCGTGCTTCTCGATCTGGACGGGCTGCCCGTCGTGTCCAACTTCGAGCCATACTTCTTGGCCGATTTCTTCGCTTTGGGTTCGGGTTTATCGAACACGGGTTCGGGTGTGACAGGTTTCGGTGGCTCGGGCTTCTTTTCCACGACTGGGACCGGCGCAGGCTCTGGCTCCGGAATCGTGACCCGGTGCAGCTCGCGCTCGCTTATCGGTATGTTGGCGACCGGAGTGTGGCCTGGCTTGAACGGCGTCGACCTGATGACCGTGGTCGTGACCGGCTGATACGGAGCCGGCTTGAGCGGCTTTTCGATGAACCGGCGCTCTCCGGAATGTAAGAAATCGTGGGCCAGCTGTTCTTGCTCCTCGGTCTCGCCTGAGCCCTCGACGATGACAACGCAGCTCGTCTCGTCCGTGCCGTGGCAATTGATCGCCACGCACCTGTACTTGCCGCTGTCCTCGGGCTTGCAGTCGACGATCTCCATCGTCACCACGCCGTCCGCGTTCGTCATCGTGTAATCCAATTTGGACAATTCTTTCTGGTTCTTGTACCATTTGACCGTGGGCGTTGGTTTGCCGCTCAGGCAGCACAACAGTTTACAGGTGTCGCGGGCTTGCATGACACGAGGACGCAGCAGGAAGGTAAAGTCGGGAGCGGATTCTTTCGTCTCCATCCAGAAGTGATACGGCAAAGGCTCGCGTCTTCTGACTGGCTGGTAGGCTTCTGGTTTGTATGGCGGTACGTCTTTGGGCAGAGCTGAAAACAATTATTGTCAAACATTATTATGGTACCTGTGCGACTAAATTTTTGTTTTTTTTTAATAAGTTATAATAAATAAAAATTATATTCATACTCACGTTGAACGTTCAAGAATACAACTTCCTCGCGATAACCGTAATGATTCTCTGCTCTGATTATGTATTCCCCTCTGTCTTCCAATTTCACCCTGTTGATGACAAAGGTGTAGTCGTCTCCGATGTAACGTTTCATGAATTTCACGGACTGTCTGAGTTCCTGGTTATTTCGGTACCACGTGAGCACGGCTGGTGCTATTGCTATTACACGACACGTGAATTTGACACTCTGTCCCTCGTAAGCGAAGGCACTCTGTGGCTTGATGACGAACCTTGGCGCGGCTTGTCTACGATCGAACGTTGTGTCTTGGATCTGGTATTTCTCGATCAATAATTTTCTAAGCGACGAGTATTCGGCAAGACGTCCAATGGGCAGTACGTATTTCTTCCAGTCCTCGTATTTGGCACGGATACGGTCTCTGAAGTCAATGTATCTGCTTGAGCTGATCTCGCGCGTTTTCTTACTCGAGTCACCGGTCAGCCATGCATGCATCAAGCATTCGTGTGCAGTCATTCTTTTCTCTTTGTTCTTGACAAGTAGTCTTCTAATGAAGTCTTTGGCCTCTTCGGAAACTTCTCGGAATGCTTCCTCGTCAAAGTCCCAGTCGCAAGCTTTGACATTTTTGAGGGTCTCGATGTCGTTGTCACCGGCAAACGGCGACAGTCCACTTAACAAAACGTATGCAAGAACACCACACGCCCACATGTCCGTGTAAAAACCGACGGGTTCCCTTTCAACGATTTCTGGAGCTGCAAATTCCGCCGTACCCGTACTGATTTTTACTACTTGATTTGGATCTAATTTAGTGGCTAGTCCGAAATCGATGAGTTTTACATTTGTACTCTGTCGCGTCTGACACATGATGTTCTCGGGTTTGACATCGAGATGAATAATGTTTCTTTCGTGCATGTGTTTGATGGCTTCGCATATTTGTCGCATGTAATTAATAACTTCAGCTTCCGACATTGTGTAACCTTCCGCGGTAATACGTTCAAACAGTTCACCACCAGACAAGAACTCGAAGATAAGGACCATTTCGTCATCGTCTTCGAAGGCATCGTGCAAGTTAATTAACTTGGGATGATGCAGTTGATTCATTATATCGATTTCTCGCCTGATAAGCTCCTTCTCCATAGGATGTGCTGATGGAATGAATTTAGCTGCGAAAATGTTGCCTGACGCTCGTTCTCTACATCTATGCACAACGCCAAACGCACCAGTACCGATTTCTTCGAGAATGTCATAGCGGTCATACACTGAAACGTTTCGTTTGATATCAACAGGCTGTCTCGGCACGTACTTGTCATAGATGTCTGACACAAATTGATCATAATCCCAAACTTTTTCATCCGTGCCACGAATCTTTTTGCCAGTGACAGGGTCAACGTCAAGTTTTTTCTTAGGTTCTTCGCGTCGTTTCTTCGCTTCGCCCTTTGTTTGCACCAAAGGCGTCGTTTCACTGGGATTTGAACGTCCGTATACATTTTCCGCAAAGACGCGGAAATCGTACTGGTGTCCGGGACTAAGACCATGAATTGCCATAGAGCAAACTCGCGTGCTGCCCACTCGGATCCACGTGGACATTGGATGCTCGCGCTTTTCCACGAGATAGTTGGTGATGTTACTGCCACCATCCCATACTGGTGGCTTCCAAGTTAATGCGAGCGAATCATGACCAATGCTATCTATTATCGGGAATCGCGGAGGATCTGGCCTGTCGCTTATCTGTATCTTGATGATCGCAGAGTCTTGACCCAAATCATTTTCTGCGGTTAATCTGTATGGTCCAGAATCTACTTTGCTGGCATCTCGAATCGTTAAAGTAGCATGTCTTTCCGTAGTATGGATGTCGTAATGTTCTCCAGATTCGATGGTTTCACCTTCTCTCACCCATGCGATCTTAGGTTTAGGAAAACCAGTGAATGGTACTTTAATAACAACATTGAGGCCCTTGTCGAAGAAGGCTGTGTCCCGGAACCTTGGTGGCACATTCAGTCTTGGTGGCGTCATGATCATAAGCTCACCTTTAGTTGATTTAACACCAGCTTTATTGACAGCCCGACAAACATACTCGTCGGCATCTTCTCCAAAGATATCATGTACAATAAGATTGTGACAATCACCCTCAGAGTATATCTTATAACGCGAGCCATTAACGATCTCTCGAGCTCCCTTGAACCACGAGATCGTTGGAGCAGGAATGCCAGTGATGATGCATTTAAAGTGTGCATTGTGGTTTTGAGCACAATTCAGTGTCTTTGGTAGAGGTTTCAGAATTTCTGGTGCTTTAGCAGCTTGAGGATCGCGGATAACAACGGATGTTGAAGCCTTGGATTCGGGTCCGCAACCTGCTTCGTTTTGAGCAACGACACGGAACTCGTACTTTCGACCTTCAATCAGATTGCTAATATTGATCTGAGTTGGCAAACAGATTGATGGATTTACGCGCAGCCAGCAGCTTTCAGGTGTTTTGATCTCGCGTTTATCAATCCAGTATCCTTGAATTCTTGCACCTCCATCATTCTCTGGTCTTTCCCACGAAAGGTTAACAAAATCTCCACCCACTTGAGTAACTTTAGGCGTTCCCGGAGGCCCTGGTGGATCGAATGGTGCCTTAGCTTTGATGGGGTTAGCTCCTTGTAATGGTGGGCCCATACCATTATCGTTGACAGCCATGACTCTGAATAGATATTCTTGACCTTCAGTCAAACCCTGGACTGAGTAGAAGGTCTCTTTGCAGCCAAACATAGAGATCGTAATCCATTGCGTGTGAGTTACATCGCGTCTTTCAATAACGTAGTGAGTAATTTTAAGACCACCATCAAATTTAGGTGGATGCCAACTGAGTGAGCAAGTGTGTTTGTCGATATGTGATACTTCTAGTGGTCCTTGTGGAGGTCCAGGTAAACCAGTTATGTAAACGTTGAACACCCCACTCACACTACCGCTTTCATTTTCTAAAAGCACTTCATACACTCCGGTGTCTTGATCTTTGTTAATTTCTTTGATAAATATAATGATGTAATCGTCAAACACTGTGTATTTAAGATGATCCGTGGACTCGGGCAGTTTCTTGTCATCCTTCTTTAATGTAACCGTAATCGGCTGATCACCGCTGTAATACACTTTAATCTTTGTATTTTCTCCTTCTGGCAGGAATAAATCGTCTGGTATGCGATCTATACGTGGTGGCGAACCGATCTTTAGCCTACCAGTCGTGCTGGCATACCCTACAGCATTTGTGGCTTGACAAGTGTAATCTCCCTCATCTGATTCGTAAACTTCTGTAATTACCAAGCGGAACACACCATCAAATGCCTCTGTACGGAATCGACCTCCAAGTGTTAATTCTCGTCCATTTTTCAACCACCTAAAAAAATATCGAGAAATAAAAAAAACATTGTATTATTAAAAAAGTTTTATCTTCATTGATAATAAAATTTACTATAGAATTTACCTGGCGATTGGTGCTGGTTTACCAGTGGCTTCGCATTCAAGTACTTGCGTTTTTCCAAGTGCAACTCCTTGCGAGTATGGTAAAGTTCTAACAAACTCTGGTTTCTCACCTCCTTCGACTTCACAGATTTTAACAGGAGCCGTGCATGCGCTTGGATCCGATCTACCGGCTGCATTGAGAGCGAATACCCTAAATTCGTAGTCTCCTTTTTCGATCAGGTGTAGCACCGTATATTCAAGATCTGTTACATTATAGTCGCTACACTTCATCCAAATAGCGCTACCAATCTCACGTTTTTCAATCATGTATCCAGTAATACGGCTGCCACCATCGGAAGCTGGCGCCTCCCATCGCAAATCGACGTAGTTTTTGCCAACCTTGACAACTTGTGGGTTTCGTGGTGCATCTGGTACCATGCACTTGCTCTTAAGCTTGAATGGTGTCGATGGTGGACTAGGTTTACTCAAACCAGCTGCGTTCTTAGCACGAATGCGGAATTCATATTCATGACCGGCAAGAAGATTATAGCAAATATAGGTTGTGTCTTTAACAAGATAATCATTAGCAATACGCCACGTTGTGTCATCAGATGGGTCTCTGAACTCAATTTTATAACCTTGGATGCGGGAGCCGCCATCAGAAACAGGCCTGTCCCATGTAACTGTGATACTCGTTGAATCCCAATCTGTAACACGTGGCCTTCCAGGTGGATCCGGAACATGGAATGGAAATTTGGCCATAATGGGCTCGTCTCCAGTCAATGGCTCTGAAATTCCGTACTGATTTTCAGCTCTTATACGGAAGTTATACTTTTTGTTGGGTTCAAGGCCAAATACGTCGTAAGTTGTACGCCTAGCAAAACTGCTGAGTTTTGTCCAAATACCAATGGGCTCCAATTTCTCTATGATGTAGTTTGTTATTGGAGATCCACCATCGTCGAACGGTGGTTTCCAAGATATTGTGCAGGTTTCTGGAGTAATATCCGATACATCTAGAGGTCCTTGTGGTGCTGATGGTCTATCAACTACGAGAACCTTACAACTAGCAGAATCTGTTCCTACATCATTTGTCAGATAAATTGTGTAATTGCCGGTTTCTGATCGTTTGGCTTTTTTGTTGATAAATTGTGTCTCATAATCGTTAGTTTCGAATTTAATTCTATCATCGGTAACTACATCTTCACCATTTATACACCACGTGGGTCTTGGTCTGGGTTTAGCAATAAATGGTACAGTAATAGTGAATGGCTCGCCAGCGATAACAGTCATATCCCGAATGCTGAGGTCGCTTGTGATCTTTGGTGATATGGATGGCGCGCTGGCTCGGATCGCATCAGAACCTGCACTGAATGGACCTTGTCCTGCTGCGTTTACAGCAGCAACACGAAACTCGTAATCATGATTTTCAATAAGGCCTCCTACTTTGTATGTGGTATCAGTTACAAGTGCTTGAGTAGCTTTAATCCATTTCTCTTCACTAATTAATCGTTTTTCAATCACATAACCCGTAATAGGTGCACCACCATCGTGTCTTGGCTTTGTCCAAGTTATAGTAATACTATCTTCAGTCGTTTCAACACCACGAGGTGCCCCAGGTGCACCAGGTGGATCAAATGGATATCTTGCCTTGATAGGATCTGTCGTTGTAGCTGGATCTGAAGTGCCATACTGATTTTCTGCCATCACTCGGAAATCGTACACACATCCTACGGCAAGGTTACGCACACGTACGAACGTAGACGTGGTGCATGCACTTACTTTGACCCATTCAAATGATTTTGGTTCTTTTTTCTCAATAACGTAATTTGTTACTTCTGCACCACCATTGTCTTTTGGTGGGTTCCAGAATAGTGTGAGTGCATCTCCAGCAAATTCATCAGCTCGTAGATTTTGAGGTGGTGAAGGCCTGTCAAGAACGCGCACATTGACTGTGGCTGTATCGAAGCCAGATGCATTGCGAAGCTGTAGTCTGTACTGGCCGCCATCTGAACGTTTTGAATTTTTTACTACAAGGCTAGCATAATCATCAGCTAGCTGTAAATGCACACGTTTATTTATATCCTCATCCGTGACGACATCATTGACATACCAAGTAGCAGTTGGTTTTGGAAAACCGATGTAAGGTACGTGAATACAGAAGTCTTCTCCTGCACGAACTGTTATGTCACGTACACCGCCAAGATCCATTATTGGCTTGTTAGGTTGTTCTTCAATTGTAATTGGATTACTGGCTCTACTTGGTGGACTCTTGCCTACGTCGTTAACGGCTATTACGCGGAATAGGTACTCTTCGCCAAGTATTAGGTGTGGCACTGTAAATGAAGTTGAAGGTACAGGAGCACCGTTAACGTCATCCCAGTCATCGGTTCCACGAGCTTTCTTTTGTTGTATAATATAACCACGGATCTTTGCTCCGCCATCGCTACGTGGTGGTCGCCAGGATATAGTAACAGAATCTTTCGTGATACGGTCAGCTTTTGGTTGCTCTGGAGCATCTGGAGCAGCTATAAAATAAAAATACAAAAATAAGTTATTTTTGCATTACTTTGCTGAAGCTTCATTGTGTTGAATGGACATACTTCTCTGGTGACCAGCAGTGATTGGTTCCGTTGGTTTACTTGGTCGTCCAGGTCCCGCTTCATTAACAGCGATGACACGGAATTCATATCTTCCACCTTCGTGAAGGTCCTGAACTGTAAACGTAGTATTCGGTGTCGGATAGTTGTTAGCCTTTATCCATTCGCCACCTCGCTCTCGTTTTTCAACAATATAACCTATTAAAAAATTAAATATTTAGGCTCTTTTCAAGAAGAAAATCATATATTAAATGTTGCTTGAAAAATGCAGAAAATCAATTAGATTTATTTGTAGTTTAATTTTTCGTCTTTCTCAAAAGTTTTGATTTCAATTGGTCTAGTAACGTATAGTTGAATCAATACAAAATACTTTAAATAATTTAAAAAATTTTATAAGACTAATAATCTTTTTTTCATTTAAAAATAATTTTTTATAATGGTTTTGCCCCTGTTTATTTCGTGCACCATCGCCCGAACTTTGGTCAAATATTTATTTTTTATAATTTTTAGAGAATTCAGTTTTTGTTCAACTGTAGTCATTTTTTATTATGTAAATTATGTACCAGTTATTGGTTTGCCACCAGTATTTACTGGTGGAGTCCATGCCAATGTACAGCTGTTGGGAGTATATCCCAGAATCTCTGGCTGACTGGGAGCGTCTGGTGGATCAAATGGACATTTAGCCGTAACAGGTTTACCCTCCAGAGGTTCGGAAACACCATATATCGTTTCGGCGCGAACACGGAATACGTAGCGCTTGCCTTCCGTGAGACCTTTTGCAGTGAAATGGGTTGTTGGGCAATAACCAGGGCACTGTCTCCAATTTTCAGATCCAAAGTCAGTAACTTCAACAATATAATTTGTAATGTCGGAACCACCGTCGTCTAATGGTGGGCTCCAGGCAAGAGAAACACTTTCTTGTGTGGTAGCTGTATATTGTATAGGGCCTTGGGGAGGTCCAGGTTTGTCTACTACAATAACTTCAATGTCTGCAGAATCACGACCATAATCATTTGTTGCTGTAATGGTGTATTTTCCACCATCATCGCGAACTGATTTTTCAATAAGCAACTGAGTATGATCGCTCTTTGTTTCAGTCTGTGAAATAAAATTGAATATTACGAAATATAAAAATCAATTTTCAGTGACTGTTTAAAATAAACGTATTTTTACCGAAATGCGCAAAGTTTCTGCAAGTTTTACACGGTTTTTGGTCCATTCAATCTTTGGAGTAGGCGCACCAGTTATCGGTATGCAAATATTAATTGGTTCTCCAGCGCGAACTTTTATCCTTCTGCCAATAAGTGCATCAAGATATAATTTCGGTTTTTCCCTCATGGGCTTGGCTGTAATTACGTGCGAAGTGTCGCTTGGTTTTCCGGCACCAGCGGCATTGATAGCTGTTACTCGATATTCGTACTGGTGACCTTCGCTAACGTGATCATCATAATATTCTGTGGGTTTAACTGGTTCTTTGTTGAGTTTAATCCATCTGCCAGTTGCTCGATCACGTCTTTCGACATCATAACCAATGATTGGTGAACCACCTGTACTTATTGGTGGCTTCCATTCGATTTTAATGTGGTCTTTGTCAGCATCGACACATTCTGGCCTACCAGGCTGACCAGGAACAACTGTAAAAAAGGTAATTAAGATGATTAAGTTCTTAAAAATTTATCAACTATCGAGAACTAGATCACTTACCGAATTGATTTTTCGCAACAATTGATCTGTCTGTATTTAATGGTTCAGAGCGCCCTTGAAGATTTTCAGCACAAACTCGGAATTCGTAGCTCGTACCTTCAATAAGACGAGGTACCGTTGCATGATTGAATTTAGGATTGACATGTGATACTGCAGGCACCCAACCTCCACCGTGAGTAAGATCACGTTTTTCAATTATGTAGCCACTATAAAACAATTTGGGTGTTGAAAAAAAATGTTTATTCAATTAAGGTTAAAAATTGATAACTGATTAAGAATACATACGTTAGTTCACTTCCACCATTGTCTTTTGGTGGTTTCCAGGACAAAGTAACCGACTGTCCAGTAATTTCTTCATATTCAAGTGGACCTTCAGGAGGACCAGGTTTATCAAGAACTGTTAATTTAAATGATCCCTCATCAATTCCACTGCTGTTTCTCAACAATATATGGTAGCTTCCAGAATCTGATCTCTTGGCGTCAACAATATGAAGGATCGTGTGGTAGCCGATGGATGTGACTGTTGTTCTCTTATTACTTTCTATATCTTTGGTGTTTTTAGTCCACATGACTTCTGGAATCGGCTCACCAATAAAGTCTACATCCAAGTGGAATATGTGACCTGCTTTGATCTTTACGTCGTTTAGTGGTGTCTTAATTTTCGGTGCCACTAAAAAAAAAGTTAAAAATATAATTTAATTAAGAATAAAATTATATTCAAAATATTTTTAAAATTTTGTTACGTCAAATCAAAATTTTTTACATTTTTGGTATGAAAAAAAAATTAACTTACAGTATCTTGGTTTAGCAGTGACCATGTCACTAGGCTCTGAAGGTTCAGATTGGCCAGCAGCATTTTGAGCTATTACACGGAACTCGTATTCTTGTCCTTCGGTTAAATCAGGCACAGTAGCTTTAGTTTGGTTGGATGGCACATGAACAGCGTTAGTCCAGTAAGGACTACCCTTCTCTTTCTTTTGGACAATATATCCAGTGATAGGGGATCCTCCATCGGATTCTGGTACAGGCCAGTCGAGATCGACGTGATCTTTGTCCCAGTCTAGTACTCTGGGTTTTCCAGGGGGGCCTGGCTCGTCTGTATTAATAAATTTTGATAAAATTAAATAAAGCGAAATATGCATTTGAAAAATTATTTAGAATTTGTCAACTGCATACCAAATTCATTCTTGGCAATAATGCTCTTAGTGGTTTCAAGGGGTTCGGATTCCCCAACACTATTGACAGCTTTTATCCGGAAGAAATACTCTTTACGATGGATTAGTCTAGCAACTTCATGCTTAGTCACCATGCTCATACCAGCATCTGTCCAAGTTCCACGGGATACATCCATCTTCTCAATAATGTAGTGTAAAATTGGTGTACCTCCATTGTCCAGTGGAGCTTGCCACGACAAATGACAACTATCTTTTGTGATATTTGTGACATCTAAAGGTGGGCGTGGTGGTGATGGTTTATCAATTACAGTTACGTTAGCACTTGCACTGTAAACATAATAATTTTTTAAAAATTTTATTATAATTAAAATAGAAATTTTTTCACAAAACAAAATTTTGAAGTGATTAAAATAAAGATAATGGCATAATAAAATTACACCAAATAAAAATAATAAGTTAAACAATTATGATAAGTGTTTAATTAAATTGTACTACAGCAAAGTAAATTATTTTTTTGTCCAAATACGATGGATTGTTTTAAATATAAAAAATTCATGTAATTAAAAATTATTAAATTTATATAATCAATCACCTAAAGGCACCCAGCTCATTTTCAAGGGTTAACACATAATGTCCACTGTCTGATCGGTGAGCAAATGCGATTTCGAACACGGTATTGGTATTTGTCGTAAAGATTTCATGTCGTTCATCAGCTACGACAGGTACGCTGTTGATGGTCCATTTGGCAACAGGCTTAGGTGATGCTTCGATCGGTATGTCATAGTTGATTTTTTGACCAGCACGCACAACAAGGTCATGTAATAAATGTGGATCGAAGGACGGTTTGACTAAAAGAAAAATCAAGCGTTAAAAAGAATCATAGAAATTAAATAAATTTATATTTTATTTCTTTCAAAAATTTTTTGTAAATTATGCTTACTGTAGCGTGCTTTTGCAACAATAGGAAGGGATGCGTCAGATGGCTCCCCAGGTCCAGCTTTATTAACAGCAATTACACGGAACTCATACTCTTCTCCCTCAGTTAAATCAGGTACCCTAGCATGCGTTTTGTCAGCATCGACTTCCACAGCTTTTTCCCACTGTCCAAATTTAGGCTTTTTCTCGATGATATAACTTGTAATAGGTGCTCCTCCATCTCTTTTCGGTGGTGTCCATTCCAAATCAACACGGTTTTTATCCCAGTCAGTAACAGATGGTGTACCAGGTTTCTCTGGTTTTCCAAAAGGATCAACAGCAATAATACTGTCAAGGCCATTGAGTGGAGGGGATTCACCTTGTTTATTAACAGCTCGAATACGGAAGCTATATTGGTGTCCTTCAATCAGGTGATCAATCACCACACTAGTACCCACTGACTCACATAATGGTACCCATCGCATACTTTCAGCATCCATTTTTTCGACAGTGTAGTGAAGGATCTCAGAACCACCATCATCTTTGGGTGGTTTCCAGGCGAGTCGACAGCCATTTCTTGAGACATCTGATATTTTTAAAGGACCTTCTGGTGGAGCAGGAACGTCAAGAACGATGACTCGTAGAGTAGCACTATCTTTACCGTTCACATTTCGTGCAGTGAGAGTGTATTCGCCTGAATCTGCTCGTAAAGCTTCTAAAACACGAACTCGAGTATTGTAGTCTTCGTTCACAATTTTAATACGATCACTCCCGGTGACCACATTGCCTTTGAGACTCCATTCCTTCTTTGGAGGTGGTTCACCACTGACAGGAACATCAAAGTCGAAATAGCTGCCTGCACGAACTTTGACATCCAGCATGTATTTTCTGTCGATTTTGGGTGGAACTAAAAAAAAATTGGATTTAAATACGTACTTCTAACAACAATATCTATGTAATTAAATATAATTTCAAAACCTAATAAAATTGATATTTTTATCGTTGCCATTGTATATTACTACATGCACTTATAAATTTCGTAAAAAAAAGTATTGGTTCATTTAATCATTATTTGTCAAAGTTATAATTTTTTTCATCCGCACAGTTTGATGTCTGATAAAGTAATGATCTGTATCAAATTTATAAACATCACCACGAGTTTGTCTGATCGAACACGTCATAAACCACAATATATACTAATTAAAGCATGTTGGCCAATTTTCAACTCATTGGACGTAGCATGAGGAAATTGATTTTGTAAAATTTTTGGCGGACATACAACTATTCGTAACGTTTGCGTGGTGTGCTTTATGAATAACAAGTATAAAAAAACCTAAATATAACAACTTACGATTTTTGGGACGAGCAAGATGTGATGCACTGGCATCAGAAGCTTCACCAGGTCCAGCTTTATTAACTGCTCTGACGCGGAATTCGTAAGCCGTTCCTTCGATAAGATCCTTTACTCTACCAGAGGGTAAGTCGCCTTCAGTTTCAGCACATTTCTCCCATGTGGGACTATATTTATCACGTTTTTCAATAATATAACCAGTAATCGGTGAACCACCATCAGTTAGTGGGCGAGTCCATTCGAGATCTACAAAGTCTGAATCGTAATCCTTAATTCTTGGTGTACCAGGTTTACCTGGTTCGTCAAATGGATTTTTAGCTTCTATGGCTTTCTCGGTAGCAAGTGGCTCTCCTTTTCCTTGTTTGTTTACAGCTCTTACTCTGAATTTATACTTATGATTTGGTATAAGTCCATCAATTTGGAGGCTGGTTTCAGGACCATCAGTTTCACCAGCTGGAACCCATCTTCCTGTAGTTTCATCAAGTTTTTCTACAACATACTTTTCGATAGGACACCCACCATCATCTTCTGGTGGTTTCCAAGCCAGCTTGCAACCTTCAGCTGTGACATCTGATACTTTAAGTGGTCCTTCTGGTGTACCAGGTTTGTCCAAAACAGTAACTTTTACATATGCAATGTCCTTGCCGTTTATGTTCTCGGCGATAATCTGGTACTTTCCAGATTCAGCCCTTGTAGCCATTCGGACATTCAAACTAGTATTATAATCGACATGTTTAACTTTGACTCGGTCACTAGTTCTAACGTCTCTGTTATCCAACATCCATCGTGTATTTGGTGGAGGTTCACCGCTGACTTTAACATCAAAGCTAAAGTTCTGTCCAGCCTTGACTTTAATGTCGATGAGGTTTGTTCTGTCAATTTTAGGTGCCAAATTACGTGGCTTAGCAATAATCGTAGGTGTCTGATTGGAAGGTTCACTCGGTCCAGCTTTGTTTATAGCCCGTACACGGAATTCGTAAGGTTGTCCTTCAATGAGGTCTGGAACAGTTGCTCGAACTGGACCGTCACTTCCGTAAGCTGGAATTTCAATAGCTTTTTCCCATTCACCATATTTGTCCTTCTTCTCTATTACATAACTTGTTATTGGGGCACCCCCATCGTTTAATGGAGGATTCCACTTGAGATCTATGTGATCCTTGTCCCAGTCTGTTGCTTCGAGATCAGTTGGCTTATCTGGTTCGTCGAATGGATTCTTTGCTATTATTGTTTGTTCTGCAACAAGTGGCTCAGATTCGCCTTCCGAATTAACTGCTGATACGCGGAATCTGTATTCCTTGCCTGGTGTTAATCCAGTGACATCTAAACCTACAATAAAGATCGATATATTCTTAGCCATATTTTATAAATATTTTTTCCAACTATACATACAAATAAATACACGTATTTTAAATAATGTTACTGATTTTGTAGAAAAATCTATTTTTTTTAGCCAAGTTTATCGAGCTATAGAGTAAAATATTTTTAACAAAAAATATGAGTCAGTACTATGGAGTAAGCGTGCTTAAAAATGTGATATTTTTCGAATTTTACATACTTGGCTCAAGTGCCCGGCCGCACGGTACCCAACACCCAGTTTCGGGATCCATCTTATCAATCTGATAATACTCGATCGGTAAACCGCCGTCATCAAGAGGACGTTTCCATTTTAGTTTACACCCTTCTTTATGAACATCAGTGACAGAAAGTGGACCCTCAGGTGGCGATGGCTTATCAGTTACGGTAACTTTAACAGTTGCAGTATCTTTTCCACATGAGTTAGTAGCTATTATTGTGTAGTCACCACTATCGTCACGTTTTACTGGACGGACAGTAAGTTTACTCGTGTACTCTGCATTGTCGATGTTTACTGTTCTGCTTGGAGTAAGTGGCATTGATCCGACTCGCCAGTTCATTGTTGGAGGGGGCTCACCAATTACATTAACATCAATCTTAAGTGTTGATCCAGCGGATAGTGTAAGATCGCGCAGTGTACGTCTATCAATCTTTGGAGCCACTGAAATAATAATAACAATAATAATAAAATTACAAAAAAGAGGAAATTTGACCATGATAAATAATTATACTTACAGAATCTTGGTTTAGCGATAAATGTTCTGCTTGCTTCACCAGGTTCTGATTGTCCAGCTTTATTTACTGCAATAACGCGGAACTGATATTCATTGCCTTCAATAAGCCCAGTGACTAAACCTGAGCAAACTGGTACATCTCTTTCAAGAGCTTTTTCCCACATAGTACTATATTTATCTTTCTTTTCAATAATATAGCCTGTGATAGGTGTGCCTCCATTACTAATTGGCTCGTTCCATTTCAAATCAACTTGGCTGGCTGTCCAGTCAACTGGCTCAGGAGCACCAGGAGGAGATGGAATAGCTACGAAATAGGCCATAAGTGAATTTGAAGAAAAATTGTCATCAATACGAAAATTGTAAAGGATTTGTAATAAACTTTATGTAAATATATAACACCAAGTATACGTATACAAAAGAGTAGTTATAAATCTCAAAAAGTAAGATGACATGGACTAAAAATGAACATAAAAATAAAATATTTTAAGTGTAAGATATTTGAGTTTTAAAATATTATATTTTCGAATTTCTATATCTATCAATTACTACCGCATAAATTGTGCAAAGTATACTTAAGTTAAGTGCAATGAGTAACGATTTTAACTATTCATAAATCTTGTTATTTAACCTGATAATGTCTCAAATAATCATCGAAAGTAATTATGTTTTTTATAATATTTTGCTTACTGAATGGATCTTTAGCTACGATCGTTCCAATAGTTTCGAGTGGCTCAGACTCTCCTTCTTTGTTGACGGCCTTCACACGGAATTTATATTCATGTCCTGGTGTTAACCCTTCGACATTTGCTTCAGGTACAGATGATCTACCAATAGGCAACCATACTCCCGTATCCGTATCAAGTTTCTCAATGATATACCCTTCAATTGGTTCACCTCCATCATCTTTCGGCTTCTTCCATTTCAGTTTACAGCCATCTTTGTGTACGTCAGTCACTTCTAATGGTCCTTCTGGTTTATCGGGTTTAGCTATTATAAAAAATGTTTAGTTGAAGTAATATATTTAAAAAAAGGTATGACCAATTTATTGTTTTGATATTTTAAATTTGGAAACTCACAGACTACAGTGACTTCCACTTCCGCTGTATCAGTACCATACTGATTACTAGCAGTAATTTTATACGTTCCTGTATCTTTACGTTCTGGTCTATCATTGAAAAACTTTGTATTGTATGGGACATTTTCGACTCGTCTGTATGTAGTCTGATGAACAATCTTTCCATTTATTGACCATGAGACATCTGGAGCTGGTTCTCCAAATACTTTTATATCAAATTTGATAGGTTCATGTTCATGAACAGTAATGTCTCTAAGATATTTTCTATCAATTTTAGGTGGCACTAAAAATAAGATAAAAGTTAGTATTTAACTATCATTAGTAATTATAACAGATTTTTGTTTGGTAAATAACAAGTGAAAAAAATTACTCCTTCTGCATTTCGCTGTAATTGGTTTGCTAACATCAGAAGGTTGTCCTGGCCCCGCTTCATTAACAGCCCGCACCCTGAATTCATATTCGACACCTTCATCCAAGTTGTCAACTTTTCCTTTACAATCTGGCCCAATAGTTTCAACAGTCTTAATCCATTTAGGACCACCTTTTTCACGTTTCTCAATAATGTATCCTGTAATTGGAGCACCGCCGTCATTCATTGGTGGGGTCCACTTGAGATCGATATGATCTTTATCCCAATCTGTTGCTTCTGGTCTTCCAGGTGGTCCAGGCTCATCTGTAAAGGTTTTACCTCAATAAATTTTTGACTTTTTGGGCATAAAAATTGCGTAAAAGTGCCTTATTAAAATTAATTGTAACTCATTAGGCAAAGTACAAGACTTAAGACTCTCATGCGATCAATAACTTGTAGTAAACGTAAATATCATACCAAATGGATTCTTAGCGATGATTGCTTCTTCAGTAACTAATGGTTCTGATTCACCCTCTGCATTAACTGCAGACACTCGGAATTTATATTCTTGTCCAGGAACCAAATTTTCAACTTCCATTTTTGGCTCCAATGAGCGCCCAACAGGAATCCATCTGCCACTAAGTGTGTCCATTTTTTCAACGACATAATGATCTAACGGGACGCCACCATCATCGAGTGGTGGATTCCACTTCAAACTACAACCTTCTTTGTGAATATTATCCACTTTCAGAGGACCTTCAGGTTTAGCTGGCTTATCTAGCACAGTTAGAGAAATTGTTGCCTCATCTTTACCAGAATCATTTTCAGCTTTCAGTGTTAAAGGACCTGTGTGGGATCTAAGTGCAAAACCAATTGAAAATTTAGTTCTGTAATCTTCTTCTTCAATTACAACTCCGTTTTCATCGGACTCTTGTTTCTTTTTTTTCAAATACCACATCTTTGTTGGTGGGGGTTCACCAGTAACCTTAATATCAAGACGTACATGATTTCCAGCTTTTACCGTGACATCTTTCAGATTGGTGCGATCGATCTTTGGTGCTGCATATCGATCTTTAGCCAACAAAGTCTCTGAAGGCTCGCTAGGTTTACTCTGACCTCCTTTGTTGACAGCTTTAACACGAAACTGGTATTTTTGCCCTTCCTGAAGATCTCCGACTCTTGCGTCATTTTTGTTTCCTGGAACCTCTGCAGCTTTCTGCCATTTACCATACTGATCTTTTTTCTCAATAATGTACTTTTCGATTGGAGCACCTCCATCATTCTTAGGAGGTGTCCATTTAATATGAGCATGATTTTTGTCCCAATCTTTAAATTCAGGCTTTCCAGGGGCATCTGGGGCACCGTAAGGGTTCTTGGCAGTCGTTGGACTGGTTGTTTCCAACGGCTCGGATTCTCCTTCACTATTTACAGCTTTAACACGGAATTGATAGTCTTTTCCTTCATTTAATCCAGCAACGTCAGCCTCTGGTGTCTTGCTTGTCCCGCAAGGTACCCATCTTCCCATATCTACATCCATTCGTTCGATCACGTAATGATCGATTGGAGCTCCACCGTCATCTTCGGGTTTGTCCCATTTTAATTTACAGCCTTCAGCAGTGACATCAGAAACCTTTAGTGGGCCCTTAGGTTTGCCTGGTTTGCTCAGTACGACAACTTCGATTTCAACTTGATCTTCACCACTATCATTTTTTGCAAAGACAGTGTAATTTCCAGTATCAGAACGTTCCAGTTTATTGAGAATAAAACTCGTATGGTAATCTTCATTATCGATTTTCAATCGATCTTGAGTTTTCAGAGTGGCATTTTTCAACTTCCAAGTTACAGTTGGCGGTGGTTCACCGATAATTTTAGCTTCCATACGTAGAATTTGTCCAACACGCATAGTTTTTTTCTGTAAATTTGTGCGATCGATGCGAGGAGCAACTGTTTAAAAATAAAAATTTGTGCAATGCTTGTAATCAGTTATTAATAATTTCTCTTATTATTTAAATTGATTATTGTGTACTCACGGAAACGAGGTTTTGCTACAACGCTCTTTGATACATCACTAGGATCGCTAGGTCCAGCTTTATTAACTGCAACAATTCTAAACTCGTATTCGTGATTTTCTTGAATTCCATTTGTAACTTTAGCATTTGTAACGTTTCCAGGTACTGTTGCTGCATCAACCCATTGTCTGCCTTCTTTGTCACGCATTTGTACTATATATTTCTCAATTGGTGCACCACCATCATTTTCTGGTGGAGTCCACGTTAAATCGACAAAGTCCTTATCCCAATTTGTTGGAGTTGGACGTCCAGGTTTGCTTGGCTCGTCTGAAATTCATTGTAAAATAATTCCATGACCAGTAGTAATATAATTTATGCATTTTATTCAGCCATTAGAAAGTTTTACCGAATGGATTCTTAGCGATGATAGATTTATCAGTTTCTAACTCTTCAGATTCACCTTCCTTGTTAACAGCCTTAACTCTAAATTTGTATGGTTTGCCTTCTAATAATCCAGTGATGTTTGCTTCTGGTTCAGTTGATCTGCCACAAGAAACCCATTGACCAGATAGAGGATCTAGTTTTTCAATTTCATAATATTCAACAGGAGCACCACCGTCATCTTCAGGTTTTTTCCACTTAAGTTTACAACCATGTTTTGTAACATCTGAAACTTCAAGTGGCCCCTGAAAATAAAATTTTTTAGAATTAACATAAACAATTTTAGTGTCAAAATTAAGTCTTTTTAACGTACATTTGGCTTGCTCGGTTTACCGAGGACAAGAAGATCAAATTCAGCAATATCTTCGCCAACTTCATTTTTAGCTTTAATAGTGTACCTTCCCGTATGCGCTCTTTTGCATTTCATAATGAAAAATTTCGTATTATAATCAATATTATCAATTCTCAGTTGATCATCGGTTTCAAGTTCTTTTCCTTTGTAAGTCCAGGTAACTGTTGGAGGAGGTTCACCAATTATATTAACATCCAAGGATAGTGTGAGACCAACTTTAATTGTTGTTTGCTGTAGGTTCGTTCTGTCAATGTACGGCTTAACTGTTGCAATATAAATACAAAGTATTATCTTCCATTTATTTATTTATACAAATATGCACTATAGTTAGTTCAAATCTTAGAAACTACTTACGCCATCGAGCTTTAGCAGTATGTGGATTCGTAGCTTCACTAGGTTCACCTGGTCCAGCTTTATTGACAGCTCTTACTCTAAATTGATATTGATTGCCTTCTTCTAATTTATGCACAGTGCCAGAACAAGTTGGACCTTCAACTTCCGCAGCTTTTATAAAAGTCGTCCCAAATCTATCTTTCATTTCAATAATATATCCAGTGATTGGGGAACCACCATCTCTGATTGGTCGTTCCCACTTGAGTTTTACCATATTTTCCGACCAATCGACAATTTCTGGTAAACCTGGGGCAGCAGGTACATCTAAAAAATAAAATTTATCAATTACATAAAATATTGAAAAATTCTTTTACACAGGAAACAATTAAATATTAAATGTTAAGTGAATTCCACCGTAAGGATCTTTAGCGAGTGTAGGAGCATCAGTTTGAAGTGGCTCTGATTCTCCTTCTTCGTTTACTGCTTTCACACGGAATTCGTATTTTCTTCCTGGCTCCAATCCAGTAACTGTATGCTCCGTTTTTTCTGGGTCTACAATACCAGCAGGTACCCAGCGTCCAGTAGTCACGTCCATTTTTTCTAAGATATAGCTTGTCAAAGGTAAGCCGCCGTCATCTTTAGGCTTTTTCCATTTGAGTTTGGCACTTTCTTTAAATACATCTGAAACCTCGAGCGGTCCCTCAGGCTTTGATGGTTTGTCAAGAATAATTATTTCAACTTCAGCCTCATCAGAGCCCGAATCATTTACAGCCTTGATTGTATATTTTCCAGTATCAGCACGAGTTGTATTAGATAAATGAAGTTTAGTATTATAATCTTCGTTATCAATTTTAACGTTGGCACTTGAAGATAGTGGCTTAGCTCCCTTGCTCCATGTAATAGTTGGAGGCGGTTCACCTTCGACATCAACATCAAGCTTCACAAGTTGTCCTGCTCTTACTTTAACAGTTTGGAGTTTCTCACGATTGATACGTGGTTTCACTGTGTTTTAGAATCGTTCATTAGTTGATGCTTCACAAAAATTTTTTAATAAAAAAAATTAGTTTAAACAGTACTTACAGAAGCGTGCCTTCATCACATGTGGTTTGGTTGGCTCACTAGGTTCACCTGGACCAGCTTTATTAACAGCACGTACTCTGAATTGATAAGTAGCACCCTTTTTCAAGTTTTTGGATACACGACCTCTGGGCTGAGAAGACGTTGTAGTCTCCACTTCTTCCCAATGGCTGGTAAGTTTTTCCTTCTTTTCAATAATGTATCCAGTAATAGGTGCACCACCATCGTCTTTAGGTGCATCCCACTTAAGATCGACACGATCAACATCCCAGTCTTCAAATTCAGGCGTACCTGGTTTACCAGGTATATCATACGGATTCTTAGCAGTAATAGATCTATCTGTGACAAGAGGTTCCGATTCTCCTTCTTCGTTGATAGCTTTTACTCGGAATTCATAATCGTGGCCTTCTTGTAGACCTTTCACATCCATTTCTGTATCATTTGTACGTCCAACTGGGACCCAACGGCCTGTAGCTTTGTCGAGTTTTTCCACTTGATAGCCAGTAATTGGTTTACCACCATCATCTTCTGGTTTCTCCCATTTGAGCTTACAACTACTTTTTGTAACATCGGAAACTTTGAGTGGACCAACTGGTTTCGATGGTGCCGCTGTTAACATTAAAATTTATTTATTTATTTTTTTCTTAACCAATTTGTTGAAAGAATACAAATTTTTGATTATAAATAACCTACATAAAACAGTTACTTCTACATCAGCTTCATCAAATCCATGAGCGTTTTCAGCCTTGATTTTCCATACTCCAGTGTTTGATCTTTTACTGTCATTAATACTCAGTTTTGTATTGTATTCGACATTGACGATTTCAATGTTATCACCAGATTTGATTAAGGTATCCTTATGATACCACGTAGTTTCTGGTGGGGGTTCACCTCGGACATCAACATCGTACTTAATTGGTTTACCAGCTCTGACCACGATTGGCTTGAGATTTGTTCGATCGATTCTTGGTTTGACTGTAAGTAAGTATTATATAGTTTACAATAATAAAATACATAAATTTATTTTGCTAAATAAATTCTTACGAGCTTTGTGTTTGCAAATTTGCATTTTTGATGCATCTGATGGTGGTGAAGGTCCGGCTTTGTTTACCGCTATAACTCTAAACTGATATTCTCCTTTTTCTTTCAGACCAGCCACTTTAGCTTCAAGTGTATTACCAGGAACTTCCATGGCCTTTTCCCATTCTGGCTTGTACCGATCTTTCTTTTCAATTATGTATTTTTCAATTGGAGCACCACCGTCAAAATCTGGTGGAGTCCATTTAATGCTGACAGATTCATTATCATAATCAATAACTTCTGGAGTTCCAGGCTTAAGAGGCTCATCTATTAAGAATTATTAATCATTAAAAAATTTTTCATGATTCCATTTAATTTTTTTAGAATTCAAGTACTTGTATTATTGACTCTTACCAAACGGATTCTTAGCTATAATTGGGGCTTCGCTTTCTAATGGCTCAGAATCGCCTTCGTCATTGATGGCGGTTACTCTAAACTTATATTCACTGCCAGGATTTAAGCCAGTAACTTCAAAGTCCAATTTGTCTCCTGGAACTTTACCAACACGAACCCATTTTCCAGTTTTTGTATCCATTTTTTCAATTTCATATTCTTTAATTGGGCTGCCTCCATCATCTTCTGGTTTTTTCCACTTAAGTTTTGCAGAAGTTTTCGTTACATCAGAAATTTCTAAAGGTCCTTGGGGAGATGCAGGTTTCCCGAGCACAATTAACTCAACAGTTTCCGTATCTTTACCACTAGCATTTTCAGCAATCAAAGTGTACTTTCCAGTATCTTTTCTTACTGCGTTTAAAAGAGTAAAGTCCGTATGGTAATCAACATTTTCGATCTTAATACGTTCTGTATTTGTGAGAGGCACATCGTCTCTCCACACCCATTTACAATCTGGAGGTGGTTCACCAGTAACATCAACAGACCACTTGTGTGTTCTACCAGCTTTTATTGTAATAGATTTGAATGTTTCTCGATCAATTCTTGGTTTGACTGTAATGTACAAATATGTTAAATGTGTTTTTTAATGGCTTACAGTATTTATATGACGGATAGTGTACTTACGGTTTCTGTGTTTACACAAATGATTGTCTGTAGGTTCGCTAGGTTGCGAGGCTCCAGCTTTATTATGTGCGCGAACTCTAAATTGATATACCATTTTTTCTTTGAGACCTTCAACTTTACATTCCGATTTATCATCGTTAGTCTTAGTAATTTCAACCCAATCTGGTGAAAACTTGTCTTTCATTTCAACTGTGTAGTGCGTAATGGGACGACCACCATCACTATCAGGTGGAGCCCACTTTAAGCTGACACTAACGTTATCATAATCATAGATTTCTGGTTTTCCAGGCTTTCCAGGTTCATCGTAAGGATTTTTCGCAACAATAGCTTCATCTGTTTCAAGAGGCTCTGATTCACCTTCTTTATTTATAGCTTTAACACGTAGCTTATATTTTTTCTTCGGTGTCAATCCAGAGAATGTAAAAGTGTACGGTTCATTTGGACCAGCTTCTCCAGCTGGTATCCATCTTCCAGTATCGACATCCATTTTTTCCAAAACATAACCAGTAATGTCACTACCTCCATCATCTTTTGGTTTTTTCCATTTGACAGTAATATGATCCGATCGAACTTCTACAGCTTCTAAAGGTCCTAATGGTTTCGACGGCTTATCTGTAAAGATTAAAATATTTTTAAAAACTGTAATAACAAGACTTTGACTACAAAAATTTTATCGATTTACTAACCCAATACAACTACTTCAGCCGAGCTTTCACATGTGCCTGAGCTGTTTGAAAGTATTAGTTTGTACTTCCCAGAATCAGGTCTCGCTGTTTTTCTTACAGTTAATACAGTATTTTTTTCATATTTATCAATAGTCAGTCTTTCTGCTGAATCTGGGACTAATTCCTTATCATTCAAAAACCATTTGACTTCTGGTTCTGGCTCCCCACCGTACTTAATATCAAATTTAATGATTTGACCTTTTTTGACAACAAGATTCTTCAAACCATCACCCACAATGAAAGGTTTAACAAAGCGGCTCTTGGCAATTATCGGTTTCGTAGCATCAGATGGCTCACCAGGACCAGCCTTGTTCACTGCACGGATACGGAATTCGTATTGTTGACCTTCTTTAAGTCCATCGATTGTTCCTTTTGTAACATCACCCTCGATTTCTTTACCCGTAGCCCATTCCTTGCCGAATTTTTCTTTATATTCTATAATATAGCCAGTGATAGGAGCACCTCCATCATTATCAGGTTTAGTCCATGTGAGATCAGCATGATCTACATCCCAGTCGACCACTTCAACATTATTTGGTTTGCTGGGCTCATCTAAAAGATATAATTTGTTTATCAGTGTTAAGTTGCAAGATATGTATGTGGCTTAAATTTTTTTATTTTACCCCATGGATCCTTTGCCAAAATAACATTAGCAAATAGTGCAGGCTCGCTTGATCCAATTTTATTAACCGCACGAATACGGAATTTATATTGTTTCTTTGTAACGAGATCCTCAACCTTGTATGTAGTTTTATCACCTTGCACGACCTCCCCTACACTATCCCACTGAGACTTTAGACTCATATCCAATCGTTCAATGACATATTTAATTATTGGCGAGCCACCGTCATCCTGGCTGGGTTTGAAAGAGACAACACAGCTGGTGGCGAAGACTTCGGTTACATTAACATCAAGTGGCGGTGATGGAACATCTAGAATGAAAAATATTGAATTTATACTCAGTTACTTAAAAAATATACTTTTACTAACATTTTTAAATGTTTTGTCTTACCTTGCATGTTTACAAAAACATCTTCAACCACGTCACCTTGGGCGTTGCCAATTTTAATTTGATAAGTACCAGACTGATCGTGTTGAGGTTTTTTTATTTTAAAGGTGATTTTATCTTCACCAACAACAATTTCTACATCCTTGAGAGGTAGTGGTTTACCATCTTTCATAAGTTTGGCTTCAACTTGTGACTGTTTTGTTCCATCGACTAAAAAAAATTAATAGTTGATATTTTTTGCAGACATTGACTTTAAATTACAAAGTGTCATGGTATAAGAACTTACTCTTGTAGGGTATGACAAATACGATAGGTGCACTACATGGCCCTGCCACTTCTTTAGGAATTTCGACAATAGGTTTGCTTTCTCCTTTCTTGATTGTTAGTTTGCACGAGCTCTTTAATTCGCCACTTTCGCATGTAATTTCACCATCATCTTCCATTTCTGCTCTGTTAAAAACAAGCTGATGTTTGCCACCACCAAGGTTTTTAATTTCAATTCTTTCATTTGGTACGATAGGTTTGCCATTGAAGTACCAATCTGCAGGAGCTGTTTGGTCTTGAAGCTCAACATCCAAAACAACTTTTTCACGTTCAATACCAACTGTATCTTTAAGTTTCTTGTTAAATCGGTTCAAGTCTGCAATAAAATATATTCGATTAAAATTAAAAATTAAAAAATATGCAGCACATCCATACAATATTTCTTGATAATCTTACAGTTCACTATCAGTTCAGCTTCAGTTTTATCAGCATTACTAACACAAGAGTACATTCCCGCGTCAGTAACTTTTGCGTCTTTAATAATAAGTTTTCTCTTTCGGCCTTCTTCTTTGATTTGTACTCTATAGATAAATATTTAATCAATTATTGTCTTGATAAAACAGTAATTTCACTTTTCTAATTTATTATGAAGTGAAACGTACCTCTTATCAGGCACTATTTCTTGGTCACCCTTGAACCACTTAACGTCTCCTGCAGCATCATCGAGCTCACAAAGTAATGTAATTGTTTCTTTTTCTGTAGCCGTTTGGTGCTTCAGCACTTTCACGAATTTGTATGGATATTCGATGATAGATAAAGTCGTGTCCGTCTTATCCGGTTGTTTGCTAATTTTACAGAAGTACTCGCCACTGTCTTCAAATGTAGCACTCCTAATTGTCAAGCGACAAACTCCAGCCATATCTTTTGAAATTTGATAAACGTCGCCGTCCTCCAGTTTTGTTTTTCCTTTGTACCATGACACTTGAGCCATGTTCGAACTAACAGTGCATTCCAATTGCACTTCGTGTTTATAGAAACCACTTGTTTGTTGATTGAGGGGTTTGGTAAAGGTATATGTAGGATCGGGTTCTAAAAAAAAGTCGATGTTAATTATTAAAAATATTAATACATCGTTGTTTGTTAAAAAAAAAAAAAAAAATATTAACCATCGACATTAAGAAAGGCTGTGCTTGAAACTCCAGATATGTCGATTGTGTATTTTCCGGTATCTTCCACTTTTGGATTAAGAATAACGAGTTGATACAAGTCCTCTTCGTTTTTAATTTTGTACTTAGCTGACGGGAATAGCTCCTGTGATGTGACATGAAGAGAAATAAAAGTATTGAGTCAACATATTTATCATTTAAAATAGTATTCATACGCACATCTTTTCTGAAGTACCACTTGGGTTTGCAATTAGGTTTCGAGAAGTTTGCTTCAAAAACAACCTTTTTGTCTTTTCCCTCTTTTGCATATTGGTCAATCAGTGGTTTCAAGAACACATCAGGTTTCTATGTAATTGGAAAAATAAAAAAATAAAAATAAATTAGTAAGTAATGTTTTTTAACACTGACAAATATCGATTTGTTTTGCAATTGTTGAGGCTGTAAAAATAAAAAAATTAAAATGTACCAAAAAACAATAGTATTCAAAGTGATTCTGCAACTGTCAAAAAGTATGTAAAAAATTAAGATCCCTATTTCTTAAAAACAGAAAAGTACAAAATTGATGAAGGTTAAAAATGAAGTACGTCGACCTATCAACGAGACACTGAAAAACAGTTTAAAAATTATAAAAAATCTTTTCCAAAAACGTCAGCCTACGAATTCCTCATAATGTACAGCAATGAATAACATTCACATTGACAACATCGAAACGGCTGAGAGTTTAATTGGTATTGCAGTAGCTTTATTTGTTTATACTTAATATTTTACTACAAGCAGTAAAACATCTACCAGCCAAATTTCGTGCAAATTTCTAATAAACAACAGTCATGAAAGACAATTTTGAACTTCAACTAAAAACAACAAGCATTTTATATCAGCAAACAAAATTTTAATATCCATTACAATAACTAAAAGATTTCGGAACATCGATAAGAACATCGACATACGACAACTATAATTTTAACCTCCGTCTTGATGAAGTGATGCAGCACCGGCCAGTCTGGAATTAATTCAGCTAACGAAGGTCTACGCGAACAAACGATGCTAGGCTAAAATAAATAATCTCTCGGAATATCATTAACACTATAATTAAATACATGATTTCTGAATCTTGATAAAGTATTCATGCATTGGAGAAGTTTTTCAAGCAAAAAAAAAAAAAAAGAAAAAAAAAAGAGAATTATTAAAAAGTAAATCTAATGACAAAATTGTGCATGCAAATACAAGTTCGTGGATAAAAATTGATCAATTAAATACTCCTTGACAGCTCGCCTGATACGTTACTGTTCACCTATAATTTTTCTTCATAATGAACGGAAAAATAGGATCCTACAAAAAGATTGATAGAACAAGAGTAACGAAGAAAATACAAGCATCTATCAAATAGATAATTTTTTTTCGAGACCAATTGAAAAAGGTTTTTGTCTACTTGTCAATCCAAACGCATGTCAGCTACGATACAAGGTTTAATGAATACAAACGTTTACAGATTCAAGTTGACGCTCATTGCTGTCGCTTACACCTTCTCCAGCCTTACTTTCTGTACCATCTTGGATAATTTTCTGCATTCGATTGAAATACGATACGAATTAAAAAACTACGAAAATGATTAATAATGATTTTTCCTATGGTAAAAGTTTTGTATTTTTTATCTTAATTATTCAAGCGATATGAATGATACTTATCATATAAAGTGACAGATTCGTGAATCAAAATGACAAGCGATTTTTAATATCAATAAAACACATAAAAAATAATACATGGTATTTGAAAACTATAACAACATATATTTTACTTTGTTAACTTAAATTTAATTATTTGCTCTTGTCTTAACTACTTAAAATATTGATTGATGAAAAAAAGGGGGGGGGGAATTAAAGGTACCACAGGGATTTAAAAAATACATTTTTTTATCAAAGACACGTGGATATGAAAACTTACTCATAAAAGTCGAGAAAACTTACAAGTTTCAGCCTTAGTTGGTTTTAATAAGGCAACTATTTCCTATTGGAAAAAAGTTAAAAAATGTTGTACCAAAGAACAAAGGACGAAAAACACCCACCTTTTCAACCTTTTTAAGGGCAGGCATTGGTTTCTCGGTCTCCTTGAGATCGACCTTCTCTTGTTCTTGCTCCCGTGCCCACTTTTGATACTTGCGTTTCTTCAACATGGCACGGAAGTCCATACCACTGGCATCTGAGCAACACAATTGTCATGATTCGTATGGAGGGGAACAAATTGTTTTTCTAATATTTCTACCAATTGCAAATTACCGGAAACGTATAGCATCATCTCGGCCGAGTCTTCGCCGTGAATGTTGCTGATGACGATTTTGTAGGTACCCTCGTCGTTCGGCTTTGTCTTGCGCATACATAACGTTATCGTATTCGTTTCGGAGTCGGTGAGGAACTTGAATCGACCACCTTCGATGATTTCAGTCATACCTTTGTAGAACTTGAAAGTCGGCGCCGGCGTACCTTCGACTTGTACGGTGAGGTATGCCGTCGAATCTACGTAAAACATTCACATATTTATGCAATCAATTCCGCCCATAGGATAGGGGAAAAAAGTTTTTTATTTTATTAATGCAATAAACCTTCGACAGCAGAGTACGACTCCTGCACGTCGACGATTTGAGGGGGTCCTGGTGGTCCGACATCGCGGAGCGGGGTGCTGGGCTGGTTGATCTTATTCTCGAGATCCGCCACGCTGAGTCTTCGGGCGTCCGTGCTCGGACGACGTCGCTGCATCGGCAAATGCGCAATCACACAGGAGTTTATTAATATGGTGATTGTTTTGAATTCCTCATTTCGTTATCCATGTCCTGATGATTTTTGCACATTTTTTTGTTATTAATTTTTAGCCACTTACCTTTGTTTCCTTTTTTTTTATTTTTTTTTTTAACAATAGTTAAATCAGCGTGTTGCAAGAGGGGATATCGTGCAAAAATCATCAAGATTGTCATGAGTATTGATTGATTATGGAGGCAAAAAGTAAGAAAAAATTTGTAAGCCAACTATAGTCTTGCTTTTTTTTTTAATAAGTTTGAGAGCGCAGTTAATACAACCTTAGTATAAGAGAAAAAAATATTTGGTATTTGGCAATAGAGGGATTAGATTACAAGTTAGGTTATAAACGCTAGTATGAAGATTTTTATATAAAATGTTGTCGAATAGAGAAAAGTGAAAATGGAAGTTCTGGTTAGTCACCCTTGGTGCAGTTAGCTACTTTCACGCATTGTGAACTACGGTCAATTCACTGGTGTGTCAATGGCGTGTCTTTAGAAGTTTACTTTTTTTTTTTTTTTTTTTAGTGATTGATTAATGTACACTATTATATGATAATGTGAGATGGACATTTCATGTACTGAGAGTTTTTTTTGCCATACCCATTTCAGCAATTTACTTGGTACTTAAGGATGTGCACTACGGAATTAAATAATGAAATAAATTGTTTTAATCGAGTGCTATTTTTCTTCGTCAACTCCAGCATCGTTAAGTTCACTTACTTCTCGTTATAACTCTATTGCAGTCAATATTAAAAATATTTGGTTTTTCGAAAAAAAAAATTTTTTTTGTTTAAACTGGTATTCATTGGACAAAGAAGACGACATCAAAGTACGCATGACATATAAAAGGGAAACACATAACACATAAATTACATGATTAACGTAAAGCAAGGTATGGTCACAAATTGAAGTATGTTGTGATGAATATTTTCATTTTTTTTTTTTTTTTTTTTTTTTCATTGATGAATGACAGTGCATACAAGGATTACAAATATGCTAAGCATGGGTAAGCAGCAAAACAAACGCGCGGCAGCATTCAAGTGTATATTTTATTTACATTTATTGTACTATTACCAAAGTCTGTAATAAAAAACAAAAGTAAAAAAATTGAAGTGACGAAAATATAAAATTATAAATAAAAAAAAAGTTATAGCGTAAGTGATAGGGCGTACGATGAAAAAAAAGAAAATTGTTTCTGCTGCCGCTTCGGTTGCTTCGAGCAAAGTACATACATATATATTTTTTGTCTGAACACTTAACTAACTTTATGATAGCATTTAACATACATGTGTACGGAAATAAGTGAGCCACAAAAATTGTAAGATAACACATAGATCTGTAATATGCAAAAGTATTCAAAAATTGGTGAAAAAATGTCACGATCACTAACTATGTACAGTAAGGTATTATAACACATTCATGTACATGTATTGAAATAATGAGAGTACTACAGTTTTTTTTTTCTCTATAATTTGTAATTCACGTTGTTAATCACGGTGTGTTTAATCACAAATGACCGCTTTGATAGTCAAAGCGAGCCACCAACCATTAAAAAAAAAAAAGTGAAATAAATTTTACATCGAAGAAACATATCTAACCTTGTCGTCTTCAAGTAACTCGCCGGGCCTTCCAAATCTCTGTGTGGATTCCCAAAAAACAAATGGAATAAGAAAAAAAAAAATCAACAATGAGAACTCATTGATCGTGTAACGTGTGGTGGATTTTCGTTTGTTTCAATCGACACCAAATGCAGTGGCTGTGATTGTTATTATTGAATCGTCAACAAAACAAAAAACAAATGACGAAAGTGTCCACCCTGCCAATGTGTGTTCTTATAACTAGGTGTGCATAATTTTTTTTTTCTTTTTTTTTACCGCGAAACAACGGCTGTATATATAAGGTTTCACACCTGCTGTTAGTGATATTGTTTTTCTGCAAGCGAAACAGACTTTGTACATATATATATATATTATTGATGATTAATTTGTTGGGGGTCCTGCAGCGCGCCGGCTGCAAAAGCTGGGGGTGGCATGACACGGACAGACAGAAGTAACTGTTTTACATCATCGTTGGTTGAGCTTTACGGAAAGTATATCAATAAAAAAAAAAAAGAATGCGCTTGCTTGTTACTTTTGTCTGTCCTGCTGAGGTGAAAACATTGTTGCTGTGCAGGGTAACGCGCTTAGCTGATTATTAAGGGCGTGTTGGGGGCGGGGGTCAGGGGGCAGACTGGAAAATCACTTGTTGCTTTTACTTGGTTTTAATATTTATTGGACCGAGGTTGTAAGGTAAGCTTTGTGTTATAGCCGAACACAAATCTCACCTTGATATCCAATACCTCGCCGGGCCGTAATCTAACCTGCAGAAAAAGTACAAGAGACGAACATGAGGTTTGGACAAGTTCACATACACAAACACATAATAGAGACACATGTTTATTTATTTTCCATTTTATACTTCATAAATGGCAGAGAAAATGAAAAAAAAAAAAAAAAAAAAATGTGGTTTCACATTAAATAACATACCATTATAATCCAGAAGTTAGATCATTTTTTGAACTTATACTTATATAGGCGCGTTCTGCCCTACAGAGTAAA